GATAGACAAATGGAAATAAGATATCAATGATTGCATTGAAGAATTTCAACTCAAAGCTACAAATATGAAGGTACAATATTAATCAAGCACGCATGTGTAGATAATAAATAAAAAATATAACTTACTCAAAAATCTAAACTTCACTTTATATGATTCCGTACGTGATCGTGTAAATTCGTCATAAATTACATATATATTCCATCCAATCAGCTTACTAAAAATCTATCACTAATATTTAAATGTTAACTAGCATATTAAAAGAAATTCATTAATCCATTCGATTGCATCTTCATATTTTGTAGCTTTAAGCTGAAATTTTTCAATGCAAATATTTTTATTTTCACTTTTCCATCCGTATGTCGTTTACCGAGAATTACAGATTACAACCGATATTACACATTGCCAGCTTGGTATAGACCATGAGATTTTCAGGAAACTTTACAAGGATGGACAAGTGAAAATAAGATAATGATTGCATTGAAGAATTTTAACTCAAAGCTACAAAATATGAAGGTATAGTCGAATAGATTAATGGATTCCTTTTAGTAAGCTAAGGTTCAAAAAATTAGTGATAGGTTTTAGCAAGGTGGTTAGATGGAATGCTTATGTGAATTACAAATTTATACAATATATACAGGATTATGTAAAGTAGAGCTTGGATTTTTGAGTTATATTTTGATTTATTATTTATACGTGTGTGCTTGTTTAGTATTTTGTATTTATGATTTATATTTATAAGTTCAAACATTTTTTGCAACCAAAGGATAGTAAATTTAAAATACATAGGTTAACCCAAGACATCGAAACAAATGTGTATATATTGTCGAATATATAATCCTCAGAAACAATACACGGATAGAAGAGTGAAAATAGAGATGTTGATTGCATTGAAGAATTTCAGCTTAAAGCTACAAAATATGAAGATTAGTGATAGATTTCGAATATGATTTATGACAAATTTACACAATCACGTACAGAATCGTGTAAAGTGAAGCTTAGATTTTTGAGTAAGTGATTTATTATTTATACATGTGCTTGATTAATACTGTGCATTTATAATTTATATAGGCTAACCCAATATACTGAGACAAGCATTTATGTATTGGATTGCGTTTAATGAAGCATGTACAAATTGTAACCGATATAATACATCGCTAGCTTGGTATAGAACATGTGATTCTCAAAAAAAACTATGCAAGGATAGACAAATGGAAATAAGATATCAATGATTGCATTGAAGAATTTCAACTCAAAGCTACAAATATGAAGGTACAATCGAATGGATTCCTTTTACTGGTAGTAAGTTAGTTAAAGTTCAGCAAATTGGTGATAGATTTTTAGCAAGGTGAGAATTATATAGAGTTTAGATTGAGTTATATTTTAATTTATTATTTATACATATGTCCTTGATTAATTTTGTGCATTTATGATTATATCTATATGCTCAAAGGTATTTTTGCAACTAAAAGACAGTAAATTTAAGATATATAGGTTAATCAAAGACATCGAAACAAGCATGTATATTGAGTGCGTTTAATGGAGAATGTGCAAATTGCAACTGACATAACACATCAGCAGCTTAGTGTCGAACATGTGATCCTCAGGAAACAACACAAGGATGGTAAAGTAGAAATAAAGATGTCGATGATTGTATTGAAGAATTTCAACTTAAAACAACAAAATATGAAGACGCAATCAAATAGATTACTGGTTAGATGAAATACATTGTGAATTATGATGAATCTACGCAATTATGTACAGAATCATATAAAGTGGAGTTTATAGTTTTTGAGTGAGTTAGATTTTGATTTATTATTTATACATACCTTCTTTATTAATAGTTCATTTATAATTTGCATTTATTCAGCTAAAGATTTTTTGCAATCAAAGGATGATAAACTTAAAGTACATGGGTTAGCCTAAGACACCGAAACAAGCAAGTATATATTAGAGTGCGTTTAACAGAAGATGTGTAAATTACAACCGATATAACACATCAACTTGGTGTTGAACATGCGATCCTCAAAAGACAACAAAAGATGGACAAGTAGAAATAAAATGTCAATTATTGCATTAAAGAATTTCAACTTAAAGCCACAAACTACATAAGATGTGATCAAGTAGATACCTTTAATAGACTTGATAACATTCAAAAGATCGATAAAAGCAGGGATGGCATGTCACAATATCTAATTAGTTTTATTTTTTTGAACATATGTCCAAAAAGAATTGAAACCAATTGGACATTGTGATATGCCATCCCTGGATGAAAGTGAATGTGGTTTGGTGTTTTCAGCAATGTAAAGAACAATTTCAGGTATACTATCTCATTTTAATTTATTATGCAATTAGTGACGAATTAAAGAGTATTTATTAATTAACGTGTTTGAAGTTTATTTTAATACTTATTGTACAATGTGTAATACACAGATCAATGAATTAATATGGGCGACAATATTATTTTGCGCTTGTTCGGTGTTATGGGTTAAACCTCGAGTACTATATTCAGTGATAAATTGTAATATATTTATTTGTATTGTATATAATTTATTTAATAAAATAAAATTTGATTACATTTGCATTAAATAAAAATTATATTTTTTTAAAAAATAAAATCTTCGCAGATTTGTATCTAAAAATCTACACAAGAAATTTCTTTAACAATTGCTAGCAGGTTGTATTAAAGAATTTCCCAATGAAGGATACTATACTAACTTCTTTGAATCTAAGAAAGTTAATATGTTGGAAAAGAAAAATGCATTAGCAGATGCATTTTGCAAGATCACCAAATTAACTTCTTTGAATCGTCTAGCATAACCACCAAAATTATCAATGAATGCTATATAATTAAAATCAGATTATTATAATTATAAGCTAAACAACATAAAATATAGGTTTTGTAGTTGAAAGAGTCGAAACAGTATGATTTTAGGTTAATTGTATTCTGAAATATTGTTTATTAGTTAATAATACAGTATCTACAATATTAGTAATAAAAATATCCTATTTCATTAGGTATCACATATGGATCAGGGTATTTTTGCTAAATATTTTGTGATTTTGATAGTTTATTACAATAAAATAAAATTAAAAAATTAACATTAATATCTAGTATTACCACCATTATTGGCTTTTACAGCCTTAACTCTTTTAGTTACATTGCTTGTATACTTCTGTATATCATCCATTGTAATATTACGCCACTCTTCTTGACAATATTGGTCAAGCTGATTAAGATTTGTTGGTAGCTGTGCTCTTACCCTTTTTTTTAAAAGTCCCCAAATATTCTCAATTGGGTTTAGATCAGGACTTCTTGCTGGCCAGTAAACTTTATATATAGGACTATCATTTACAATATAGTTCTTTATGATAGTCGCCTTATGACAAGGCGCATTATCGTGTTGAAAAAATATTACATCATAAGAATGACGTTTAAATACAGGTTCTATATATTTTTTAAGAATTTCAATATATTTTTCTTTAATCATAGAACTATCATAACAGACTAAAGGACCTTTATCATAATCTGCACTTATCCAAGACCAGTAGTTTATACCTCCACCATTACCTTGAACTTTAGCTTGAAGACAATCATTCTCTAATTCTTCATTTGGCTTATGCCAAACGAGTAATCTTCCACTATTTGGAAATAATGTTATACTCATTTCATCAGAAAATACGTGTTTATTCCAAAAAGTTTGTGGTCAATTAATGTGACGACAAGCCCATCTATATCGTTTTATACGGCTATCTTCAGGCAGATATGGTTTTCTTAAGGCTACCCGTCTTCGTATATTCAAACTATATAAGCAATGTCGAAATGTTCTTGGAGAAACCTGAAGATCTGCATTATTTGTATTCCAGGTTTCTGTTAACTGGTTTAATGAACTTTTATAATTACTTAGTGTTAAAAGTTCTACACGTAATAGATCTATATTGCAAATTATTGAATTTCTTCCTGTATGTTTGTTTGGCAATGGATCACCAGTTTCTTTCCACCTTTTAACCACATTTGCAACACAATTTTTAGATTTTCCTATTAAAATCGAAATTTGCCGAAATGTGGTTCCCACACGATGCATGCCAACAATTTGCCAGCATTCTGCTACTGTTGGTTCTGTTCCTCTTGGCATATTTTTTATAAATTTTTTTTATTTTTTTTAGAAAAAATAAAAAATAACTTAGTTAATAATTATATTATACTGTATATACTGTATACTGTATATAAGTGTGTAAGAGTGAAAAACCTAGAGTTGAAATTTAGCTCTAAAAAATTATAATCGGTGTTTTTTTAGTACAAATTATAGTGCATCTATTTGCATAACAGATTATGTAATGTTTATTGATGATCCAAGCATGCTTAACCAATCAAAATTAGTATATATGTAAACAAATTTGAACGAAGTTTTCAATAATTACCTGACCAAATTCAATAAATTTTTTTTATGAATATGTAGAATTAAACTAAAAAATAATTGTCGAGAAACTTCGCTTAATTTTAGAAAGAACTGATTCGTCTATCAGTAAATTAAATTTTTTAAAAAAATTTTATCGAATTCAATCAGAAAACTTTCGTTCAAAGTTTTAAAACTTCAACAGTACTTAAATTACTAGCATTAAATGACATTCGAAATTTCGATCGGGGTCGAATTTTTTTTTTTTGTTAATCTGTGTAGCAAAGTCTTTAATTTCTAAGGCTTTCTTGAAAAAGTATTTTACTTGTTCAGATGATTTCAAGTTCATTAACTTTTAAATCAGTTAAATCATAAGGCATTATAAAACTATATTGAATTTAAACCTATCGGTAACTTACAAAATATAAGAATGCTTGTAAATGTAATGGCTTTGTACTAATCCGTTATCCATTTTAAAATTTAAAAATTAGTGCGTATTAATAATAAACTTTCAAAACCTTCATTCCTTCCCAAAATAATATAATAAAAATCGGTCAAAAATGGAAATACTAATAGAATAATTTATCTTTATGTTAGAGATTTCTATCAGTATGAAACTAGAAAAGACATTCCTATAATAGACCCGGAATTTACATATTTATCGTAAAACTAATTGTATGTAATTTATGAATTTTAACAGTAAAAGGAGATGGATTTTAAGGTGGGAAAATAGTAATTCGGGGTTTTGAATTTTGGCCCAATTCCAAAAATGCGCCCGAATGCTTAGGTCTAATGCTAAGCTGAGGCTGCTAATTAGAAGAGATAATCATATAGAGCCCATTGTTGTTGATCAACAAGAAAAACGATCTACATTATAAGACAGAAACCTGCAAAAAAAAAGATCTGGAAATAATTGTTAATACATTCTCTGCGAATGATCGTCCACCGTGTGATAATTTTTCAATAATCTTGCTATTTTATAGCATTCGTTTAAACCAAAATGAAGAATAATTTAGTCATTCGGAAAAAAATTGTTGCACATTATTTTTCCGGATCTTCTTTGCAATTATTGATAGCCAAGTGCAATTTCACATAGCGGAATAACGCTATAAAAATAACATATATAGCTTCAAAATAACGCCCATGCGCGTCCAGAAATCACGTGCATCTTATAGTAAGGGGTGCTTTATTTACAACAAATGCTCCGAAACTATCAACCTAACTCCGGAACATTTTTTTTAAACAAGATGCTTAAAATTACATTTGTCTCAAAGTAACGCCCATGCGCGTGCGTACTCAAAAATAACGCGCATATACTCAAAATAACGTGCAGATGAGCGTTATTCCGCGAAAATACGGTAAATACGTTAGATTTTAATATGAATGATGAAAAATTGGAATTTTTTGTGTGAAAATATAAACCACATTTACTCTTATACCCTTTTATTACCTTAACACCTAACTAAACTCTAAACAAATAAGTTCAAATTTCAGCATCATCAGATAACAATGCATTAAGTAAATTACAAATTTTACATATGCTACTATATTAGGTTCAACTAATCAGATTTCATAAAGGGTAATATCTCAAAATATTTCGATATTGTACTATTTTTCTGAATTAGAATTGAGTAATTCTTGTATGTCTTTATATTTTGATTAAATAACAATTGATTTGTTTGAACTAAATTCATTAAAACGATTAAAATAAATATCATTATTTTGGTTAAAAAAAATTCGAGTTTTTGAAAAATTCGAAATTAACTTTCGCCTAATAGGCGGGACAGATTTCTTCTAAATTTAAGCAAAGTTTTCTTGACAACCACCTAACAAAATTCGATAAAATAATAATAATGTATAGAATTAAAATAAAAAAAAAATTCATGTAATCTGATTAAAAAGTTATTGAGAATACTTCTCTCAAAGTTTAAAGAAAATTGGCTTACTAATAGAAGGGACAAATTCTTTCTAAACTTTAAGCAAAGTTTTTCGATAACTACCTAACCAATTCGATGAATTATTTTTTTACTTTAATTATACACATTCATAGAATTACAATAAAGAAAAAATCATCGAATTTAATCAGGTAATTTTCGAGAAAACTTTAAAGTTTAGTTCATTTACTGATAGACGAAACAAGTTATTTCTTTGAGCAAAGTTTTCTTGACAGCTACTTGTCCAAATTCAATGAATTTTTTTTTATTTTAATTCTATGAATTTATAGAATTAAAATAAAATAAGCTTATCGAATTTAGTCAGATAGTGAGAAAATTTTTTGCTCAAAGTTTTAAAAAAATTCAAAAGCACTTAATTTACTGATAGATAAAACAGATTTTTCTCGATAACCATCAGACAAAATTTGATAAAAGATTTTTTATCTGAATTGTATGAATGTGTAGAATTAAAATAAAAAAAGTTTTATAGAATTCTGCTAGGTAGTTATTAAGAAAGCTTCGTTCAAAGTTTTAAAACAAATGCAAAAATTGTTTAAGTGTATGTTGGCCGGTGATTAATTCTGATTGGTTGAATGTGCTTAGAACATCAATGAACATCGCGTAATCTTGCATGGTAACACGGTTTTCGTATTTACGTGCTTATTTGAGATCGTGTTTATTTGATTGCTTAGTGCTTATTTGAGATCGATTTCTTAGTACAAAACCTGTTTTAAACGTGATATGATCATTTCTTTCCAGAAGGGGGACGTTTAAAGCCTGGCACCTTCCGGGTTTTCCGATTTTTAATTAATATTAGGGTTAGGGTTAGACATGGGTTAGGAGGTTAATAGATATATAGTAAAAAAAATCGCATTTCCAACAGCCATTTTTTTATATTTTCGTTTTTGTCATTGTCATTTTGTTCGGAATAATTCGGACACAGATCGAGTAAGTTCGTAAGGTGGCAGGCTTTAAACGACCCCAGAAGGGTATTCTCAAGCGAAAATCGGACTTTTAAATCCGAATGCTTAGCTCTGGAGTATATTGATATTAGAACTTTCTTATATAGTTGATGTAAAAAGAATGATCTTTCTCATTCAAGTACTGTTGGCCCTCTCAAAACCGGTATGCATGGTGGATGGGTTCTGTATCGGTTTTGGGAGGTTATCGGATTTGAAAAAATCACATGATAAATGGTCGGAAATCAGCCAATCAAATTGCAGAATTGGTATATAAAAATTTTTATCAAATTCGATTAGAAAAATTTCGCTCAAAGTTTTAAAAATTCAACAGTACTTAAATTATTAAAGCTATACAAAGATGATTTTTCGTTTTGCATTAAATGACATTCGAAATTTCAATCGGGTTGGATTTTTTTTTCATTGTTAATCTATGTAGCAAAGTCTTTAATTTAGAGTTCCAATCCGGATAATCCGTCATCCATTTATCCGTATCTGGATTATCCGAATCATCCAGATCGGATAAACAGATCAAAATATCCGGATAATCTGGCAGATATTCGGATAATTATTCGGATATCAATTGTAAATAAATATCCGGATAAATGCAGATCGGAAGGGTAGATTAGTGGATCCACCAAAATTCAGCAAATCGGCCCGAATTTGGGTTAGGAATAGGCCGGAGCCAGGTGGTTTTAAGCGCCAACTATTATAGCAAAATTATCATTTGGGCAGCTTTACTTAGTGCATGGGCTGTCACTTTATTACTAAAATTTTGGGTGGTTTTAGAAAAAATTTCTCAATTCCGGCCTATTCCGAACTAAATTCGGGCCGATTTGCTGAATTTTGGTGGACCCACTAATCTATTCATCTGATAATTATCCGGATAAATGTATAATGGATTGTAACTCTACTTTAATTTCTAATGCCTTCTTGAAAAAGCATTTTACTTGTTCAGATGATTTCAAGTTCATTAACTTTTAAATCAGTTAAATCATAAGGCATTATAAAACTATATTGAATT